AAATGATGATAGTATAAACTAATAGGTCACAGGTTCAAATCTTGGTCAATATGATTGATATACATGTTTATTTAGTTTTATTTTAATGTAATTAATAAATTCAAAATATTAAAATGATAAAAATGACATGGAAAATTGTGGAGTTTTCTTTCTCCTACGTGGCAAAACCTTTCTCTACAACAGTCATAATATATGTTAAAATAAGATAAGATAATGTAATATAAATGATAATTTTGTTAACATTTTAGGTTTGTTGGTAATATTATTTCTTAAATGTACTTCTAATAGTTATCAACCGAACATTTAATTTGAAGATACTTTTCTAAAAACTAAAAACTAAAAAAAAACTCCACCGGTAATGTTGTGCTTTTCCAAAAGCTACATGATCAAACTAATATATGATTATGATATGTTCGCAATGGGTAAGGTTTATGGAGGCATCCATGATCGGTTTCTTGCATATTTATTGGCATGGAGGGATGCGTTGGACTAGTGCTTAACTCACGGGTTTCATGCGCTCACCTTGTATGGGACCTCGCACCTAGTTATTCGACGGCTGTTTGCGGGAGACTCTCATCATGTGACGGGTGACATGATCCTAGAAGATATTCTTTTTTGTCACTATCTTTTGAGTTTTTTTCTTGCTCTCATGTTACTCATCAAGTTAATAGAGCAACCTATCTTGTTGTCAAGAACACTCTCTCATCGAAAGTTCAACGATTAGTCAACTTCGCCTGCGGATTTGTTCTTGACTTTGACTTTGTACCCGGTCTTTCGACTTTGACTATGTTAAAAAAAGGTAATGACTATTTTTTATCCAAACTTTTTTTGGATTCTTTTATATTATCCAAATCTATTAAAATTCTATTAATTATCCAAATCTTTCATGATGCATCAAAATATTAGCCGTTTTTACGCTATCGTTAATAATTTTGTAACTCTTTCTTAGTTAAAATGCTAAAATTTTGGAATGTTGACCTTCATATGTCTCTTCCAGATCAGTATCATGTTGCCAAGTCAATATTACTAACAAAATTGCTAACTGAAAGGTAACATTTGGCTAATTCTTAGTATTTCGATATATTTGGATAATATAAAAGAATCTGAAAAAAAAATTTGGATAAAAAATAAACATTAAAAAAACTAATCTACACAATAAATAAAAGCCAAATGAGAAAACTTGAAGTCTCATTTCAAATTTCCTACATCCAGAGTGAAAGTAGGAAGGGTAGATTCGTCTTCACAGTTATTTATTAACTTCTTATTTCCAGAAAAAATACATTAGTAATGAGATTTGAACCGTGGTCTCTTTGAACAAAGATAAGAAACATAACCAGTTACAATAAACATAGTTGTGTGACCTTTTCCAATTAAACACATATAGGAAGTTTAAATTTAAAAATCATAGGACTTTTCCACCATGGTTAGCAACCGAAATGTCATTGATTCAAATATTGCATACCGAATTGCACTCTCGAATGTCTAGAAGCGATGTAGAATTCCTAACATAAACTTAATTGTTATAACTTCCATAAAGTAACAATATTTTTAAACACGGAACTTTTGAGTGAATATGGGGCACATATGTCTTTAAGAGAAGGGTAAATATGGAAAGGTTAAGTGATGTTGGTTTGCCGAACGCGGATGCAAAAGACACTACTAATGTAAACGAGCCCAATTAGTGCCCCGACCCACTAAATGCTCAACCATTGTCGTCTCTCCAAACTTTTCATCAGACTCAACAACCGGCTAACCTCCTCTGCCTCTATTGTTACGCTAGAGCAATTTAGATGGGTAAATATGAAAAGATTGAGTGTTGTTGGTTTGCCCAACGCGGATGGAAAATGTGCTACTAATGTAAACGAGCCCAAATAGTATCCGGCCCACTAAAAGTTCAACCACCCAGGTTACTTTCGCTAAACCTAATATAATAGTGAAATGAGAAAGGTGTTTCCCCCATTAGAAAATCCTTGCATCCATAGCAAAATTAGGAAAGGAGATTCGTCTTCACAGCCATTTATTATTTTCTTATTTACAGGAAAAATACATTGGTGATGGGATTTGAATCGTGATCTCTAGAAAAGAAAAGATACATAATCAGTTGCACTAAATAAATTTTTTTAAACTTTTTAAATTAAAAACATACAGAAAGTATAAATCTGAAAAATCATAGGAATTTTTCATCATAGTTAGCTAAGCCACTAACTCTACCCTAAATATATTTTTGGTATTTGATACTTATATTTTCATACTTTGATTATTTTAATTCAAATTTAATAATTATTTCTATTTCTATTTACCTTATAAAAGGAGAATAATTTTAAAATCGCAAGTCTAATGTCATTGGTGCAAATATTGCACATCGAATTGCAGTATTGAATGTGTAGAAGCGATGAAGAAATCTTGACATATACTTAAATAGTATAACTACCATAAAACAACAATATTTTTTAACATAAAAGTTTTGATTGAAAAGAGGGGTAAATATGGAAAGGTTGAGTGATGTTGGTTTGTCGAATGCGGATTGAAAAGACGCAACTAATGTAAATGAGTCTAAATGGTGTCCCGACCTACTAAATGCTCAACCATCGCCGTCTCTCCTAACCTTCCCACCGGACTCGACAACCGCCTGACCTCCTCAACCTATATTGTTACGCAAAGCAATTTTCGGAGGGGTAGATATGGAAAGTTTGAGTATTCTTAGAGAGCTGACTGGTGGATTGTTTAGCTTCTTTGACAGTAATGTGTGATCTCTTAACATTAGTTCATTTGGTTGATCTTCTAGGTTGAATTTTGAGTTGATTAAAGATAAACAGTGTCCCGGCCTCCCGGCCTACTAAACGCTCAACCATTGTTGTCTCTCCAAACCTTTAAATCGGACTCGACAACCGCCTAACCTCCTCCACCTATACTTTTATGCAAAGCAATTTTCGGAGGGGTAAATATCGAAAGGTTGAGTCTTCTTGCTTGGAGAGCTGACTGATGGGTTATTTAGTTTCTTTGAGAGTAATGTGTGATCTCTTAACATCAGTTCATTTGGCTGATTTTCTAGGTTGACTTTTGAGATGATTAAAGATAAATAGCTATACTTTTTGTTGCTTTTGTTATGATACTTTTGTTTAGTATCATCATTTTTCCGATTTGAAATGTTTTTGTGGTTAGTTTTCAGTAAACAATGACTATTCCGATTAGTGTTAACATAGGGAATAGCTTCAATCATACCACTTTTACACAAAATTTATATGTAAGAGTTGAGATCATTTTTGAATTAAACTATTCAAGCTATAATGCTAATCTTCAACATATAAAACATGGTTCCTTTTGAGTGAAATAACCTCATGAATGCATATAAGTTTTTACAATATGATGTTTTGTGACAGTGCCATTTGCTTCCAGATTTAAAATTGGGGTTCTAATTACTAAAATATAAAAAATACGAGTGATAGCCATAATTGGAGCATATACAAGATGGTTTGATATCATTCTCTCTGCAAAGAATAAATACATGGTGAGAATATGTTGTCATGAGAAGGACAAACCGAAGTCTTTGTGTTTTTAGTATAGCATGTTGATATATACGCATGTCTAGACCCGATCGATTGGACATCTCCATCTGGAATTTATTGACGGGATTTTTGCTCCTCAAAGTCGGCTGCCAAGTAAGCTCTCTCCTTAATCATTATATTTTTCTTAATTTGCACATGCACGCCCTCATAGGAAACATGTACGGAATTGTAATTTGGGTGCTTCATTATTGTTGTTTCCATAAGATTGTATTATATGAGGTGGTTGTTCTAGAATTGTGAATCATGATTTTATCTCCTCTAAGAAATTGTCAAGTGAAGCTATAAAAGAGCCTAACCTGAGATTCCTATTTAATTTAGATGGTAAGAGAGCAATGACTCACATCAAATTGATTGGGGGTTGACAATGCCTGGGAAATGGTTTAGCCTTCTTCAGCGCATCACAAGATCCTGATAGTATCTAAACCAAAGCAATTTTTGTTTTCATGCATGATGTTGATACAAGTTGTTTACCTAGAAGAGAACCCCAACAAGTTAGCTCTTGGAGTTGTGATGCGAAAATGGATGAGACAGAAATGGTTTATACAAAAGGTCATACAATGATCGTATAAAATACGTTGGTAGAGATAGTCATCAATCTCATTTTATTGTCGAATCCACCGAGGAGAAGAGAGGAATCGCCATTGGTACTCTAAATTTTACAAGACTATTATAATGATCATTTCTTTCATTTCATGTAAATTTGTATTATGACTGAAGTGATATTACCCCAAGCCATAAATTGCAGCAAGGAATGGTTGTTTGAATTAATGTGCAATGATGCAAAATGTCATGTAGCTTCCACGAAAAAGGAGTAAGAGCGGATCAATCAGTGTGTTTGTTGTCGAGAAGGATAAGAATCGTAATAATGGGGAGGTATATTGGCAGAAGTTATTATCTGTTGGTACTTCCAGGCATATATTGATTGCCTGTTTCTTTTGTTTGTATACGAGATTTCTAAAGCAGATTGCATGCTTTGTATTTTTTTTTGTCATTTTAATTAATAAAACTATTTATAAAAATAAACAGACCGACGCATTCCATCGAGTTGATTTGGACATTGCGGGATTTTGTTTTCTCAGCCAGAGATTCATCGCCTTTTGTATCACTGTGGTTTTTGGTCTAAGGGCAATCTATATTGGATTTTCCTTATGAAATCTCTTGGTGACTTCCATTTTTACCATCGATAGTTGGAGTCAGGTAAGCATTCCTTTGATTTTTTCATGTTCACTCTAGGGGCATCATGGTGCATGGCTATAGTGGCAATATTGAAGGCTAATGGCTTGGTTTGGATTGTTCATTATAGTGTTTATGTTTTACTGTTTTTTTTTTTTTTTGTGTAATACAATGGGATAATGACTTTCCATTATATTATTGTGGTATTGTTGACCTACCTCCGGCCATCGCCGTATACATATTAACGAATAACATCAGTTACTATCATAAAGTCAATTTTCGAGACTGCGTCCGGCGGGCAATGAGCTAGTCATATATGATTTGCATTGTGCACGTTATACAGTCAGATAACGAGCAAGGCACTGGCATTCGATGACGCAGGAATTTTATCCTGCATCACAGAACCGAGAGTTGACGATCGTAAGATCTTTCAACGACCGTCCCTTCTCCTCCATCCAACGGAGCTTCTGTCTCTCTCTCTCTTCCTTCCTCCGCTCCAGGTCACCTTCCCTTCTCCTACATCCAACAGAAAACCGACCAACCGTCCCTTGCAGCTCTATCAGTACCCGCCCAAGCGCCATTCCGCTTCCGATTCCAATATGCGCGTTTGCTCCTCCTTCCCAATCTGGTTACACTCCTGGTTATGTTAGGATTTCAAGAATAGTATGTTGTCGATGATTGAGACTCTGAGGCCGGTTCCACACTCCAGCTGGCTCCACGCGGACTCCGATTGTAAATACCGTTATCCTCCTCCTTCTCCTACTCGCTCTTTCCCATTCCGCGCTCATTCTAGGGTTCATTACCGGGATCGGCTGCGGCTCCCTCGTCCCGTGAACTTGCTCGATGATTCTTTGCCCTGCCGAACTCTGCGAGGTTCTGATCTATGGGGAAGTGGAATTTGGAGGAATTGTAGATTGAGAGAGCACAGAATATTAGCGAATTGTCAGGACGGCGATTCGAAGGCGAACTCGTGTGAGCCGATAGCGGACACCGAAGGGCAGCAGATTAGCAGCACGAATACGCCCAATTCGGGTCCGAAGCAGAAGAGGGAGAAGCAAGGGAAAGGTGAGTGGTGGTGGTGGTCCAAGCGGCAGAATTGGAAATGGCAGCCTCTGATTGAAGCTCAGGAGGTCGGGGTGTTGCTTTTGCAATTAGGGATTGTTATGTTCGTTATGCGGCTGCTGCGGCCGGGGATTCCGTTGCCAGGGTCGGAGCCCAAACCGCCGACCACTTTCGTTAGTGTACCATTCAGTGATTTTCTGAGCAAGATTACTAGCAACAAGGTGCAGAAAGTGGAGGTTGATGGCGTGCACATTATGTTCAAACTGAAACCCGAGGCAACCGGAAACCAGGAGAGTGCGGAAGTGGTTGATGGTAGGTGGCAGGAGTCGGAGCCGTTGTTAAGGAGCGTCGCTCCAACCACAAGGAGGATTGTGTACACAACTACTAGACCCAGTGATATCAAGACTCCCTACGAGAAAATGCTCGAAAACCAGGTGGAGTTTGGGTCGCCTGATAGGAGGTCTGGTGGATTTTTCAACTCAGCTTTGGTGAGTACGTGTTTGGTTGTGGTTGTGACAAGCTGTGATGATCTAGGTAAACCATGGACTAGTATTGCTTAGTAAGCGACAACAAGTAGAAAGTCTTTGCGGGTTTGCTGAAGTTTGTTCGCGTGGTCATGCCTTGCAATGCAAGTAATTGCATATGGGGCGGTTCTTCATGCAGACACATAGGTTCGTTTCAGTCTTGCGGACCGAAAAAGAAGCATGTGATGCTATTTACAAATTCGTCATTTGTATGAAACAGAAATGCTACACTCTTAGAGACCACGGCCCTCATACACCCATGTGGTTAGGAAGCCAGAGTCAGGTTTATTAATTTCTGGGCGCTTTGTCCTCATCTTGCATGGATCGTGTTGGCAGCCTAACGTAAAATGGCAATGCCATTCTTTGAGACTTGTGCAAGTCTTCATCTTTTGCCAAACTAGTTATGCATGGAGATTGAACTAGGAAAATGAATATCTTTATTGCTTGAGCACATACTTTTTTCTACAGTTTGTGGGCCAATTACGCAGTTATTTGCATCATTCCGCTTAGGGGCTGTTTTCCAAACGTGGAGTTTTACAAGTTTGTTTTTCCCTTTCAATCGCAGATAGCTTTGTTCTATGTCGCTGTGCTTGCTGGACTTCTCCATAGATTCCCTGTTAGCTTTTCTCAGGTGAGGACTATCACATTACTCTTTTGATGTTGTCAAGCTTGATGGACGTAAGTTGGTTCTGACAACTAGATGCATATCTGTCATGCAGCATTCTGCTGGTCAGATTAGGAATCGCAAGTCTGGTGGTTCTGGAGGTGCAAAAGTTGCTGAACAAGGAGATGCAATCACTTTTGCTGATGTTGCTGGAGTCGATGAGGCTAAGGAAGAGTTAGAAGAAATAGTGGTATCATACTATTGATACTTGTGATTCTATTTGCATCCTCTTCCCTCTCTTTGAATTCTTTTTGCTACCTCAGGAAATGGTCTTATGTAATGATGTTTGCTGCCCAGGAATTTCTCAGGAACCCGGACAGGTACATAAAACTTGGTGCTCGTCCTCCTCGGGGTGTTCTGCTGGTGGGTACTAAAAATTGGTTGTTTATATTTGTTGGGGGAACACCTGCTGTACCAGGGTTCACAGTACTGTATAAGCTTCAATTGGCATAGGTCTTTTAGTGTGCTGTTCTGCACATCTGGTGCTGCATCCTATTTTTCCCTAATGTTGCAGGTGTATGTGTCCAATACCATATTCTTTGTTCTCTGTGCCTTGTATGAGTCCCATGTCTTTTGTACTAGTAAAATTATATTTCACTTCTAGTAAGTTACAAGAGCTTGTTCGTCTTCCAGGTTGGTCTTCCTGGTACCGGCAAGACCCTTCTGGCAAAGGCTGTTGCTGGAGAAGCTGATGTTCCTTTCATTAGTTGCTCAGCTAGCGAGTTTGTAGAGTTATATGTTGGAATGGGTGCTTCACGAGTTAGAGATCTGTTTGCTCGAGCGAAGAAGGAGGCACCATCAATAATATTTATTGATGAGGTAAGCTGTACTTGACTCTCATTATTGGATATGGATGCTATGCTGACAGCTTTTAACATCAGGCTTGTATTCTCTTATATGCAGATAGATGCAGTAGCTAAAAGTCGCGATGGAAAGTTTCGCATTGTCAGCAATGATGAGCGGGAGCAAACGTTAAACCAGTTGCTTACTGTAAGTCCCTCATCCAGTTGTATTCCTTCTTCAAGATATATGCCAAGTCTTAGGATGTCACTATGTTCATTTTGTAAGCGACTTGTCATATGTTGCAGGAGATGGATGGATTTGATAGCAACTCTGCAGTAATTGTTCTTGGAGCAACAAATCGTTCCGATGTATTAGATCCTGCGCTTCTGAGACCCGGTAGATTTGACCGTGTAGTTATGGTTTGTTCCAGTTTGCTCCTCTCTTATAATTTTGAAACCACTGCCCCGTACGTGCATGAGCTGTTTATACTCAGTTGAGTGAATAATTTGTGTACTTTGATCTCAGGTGGAAACACCTGATAGGAAGGGAAGAGAGGCCATTTTGGAAGTGCACGCCTCAAAGAAGGAGCTTCCCTTAGGAAAGGATGTCAACCTTAGTGACGTCGCATCAATGACCACTGGCTTTACTGGGTAAATTCCAATTCTGTGGTAGATTTGCTATCTCGTCATAGGCTGGATTTGGAGGTAACATTATGGTTTTCATGTCATGCAGGGCTGATCTTGCTAATGTAGTAAATGAAGCTGCTCTATTGGCTGGAAGGAAAAGCAAATCATTGGTAGAGAAAATCGATTTCATTCAGGCTGTAGAACGGTCTATAGGGGTAAGCTCTTCCTCTCTTTTTCTCTCTCTGTCACCATATCGATTTTTTCCGTAATGCTGTGATAGATTGATGGACAATTGGAATCAATGGAGTTAATTCTATGAAAGCTAGTGTAGCATTTGTTTATTTTGATTGTACTTACTGATTGTGGAAGGTTTTTGTATGAAATGAACTACCTTTGAAATTGTGTACATTGGTGCCCAATAGGAGGGAATCCTGGGTATTTGTTGCTCCTAGAATTTATGAGGATTTCATGCATTTGATCTTGTCTGCATACTTATGCCATGTTTGACCGAAGAAAATTGGCAGATTGGAATGATCTATAAGGAGGAAAAAAACTTACTGAATAACTCCCTATTATTTTAGGGCATAGAAAAGAAGACAGCCAAGCTGCAAGGGAGCGAGAGGGCCGTCGTTGCACGTCATGAAGCAGGTCATGCAGTAGTGGGCACTGCTGTTGCGAGCCTCCTCCCTGGACAACCGCGCGTGGAGGTGAAAATCATCATCATTTCTTAAGCCGAAAGGAACTAGCTGAAGTGTTGCATTTGCCATTTGGAAATCGTGTGTGCCTGTCAGGGTATAACAGTTGTTAAATGCTGTCATATATGCAGAAGCTAAGCATACTACCAAGGACGGGTGGTGCATTGGGGTTTACTTATACATCACCAACCAACGAGGACAGATATTTACTTTTTATCGATGAGTTGCGTGGTCGTTTGGTCACCCTTCTTGGAGGGCGTGCAGCAGAAGACGTGGTGTACTCAGGGCGTGTGTCTACCGGTGCAATAGATGATATTAGGCGAGCTACTGACATGGCATACAAGGCAATAGCTGAATATGGTCTCAATCAAACCATTGGTCCTGTATCTGTTGGGACACTCTCCGGAAGTGGGATTGCTGAGTCTGGAGGTAGTCCATGGGGAAGGGAGCAGGTAATCATTGGTTGGGCGTGCTCTTATTAATGTTATGTCACACTCAATCTGCCTCTACCAACCTTGTATGCTTCCGTTAACGGGGTATGCTATAAAGCAGGGCCATCTCGTTGATCTAGTTCAAAGGGAGGTGAAGGAAATGCTACAATCTGCAATGGATGTGGCACTCTGTGTCATTCGTGCTAATCCTACTGTCTTGGAAGGGCTCGGTGCTCATCTGGAAGGTAATCTGCTGATTCCCATTTTTTTTGTTGACACGTTGATTTATAAAGTAGTCAAGAAGGAGCTCTAACTTGGTGCCCACTGTATACAGAGAAGGAGAAAGTAGAAGGGGAAGAGCTGCAAGAGTGGCTGAAATTGGTAGTTGCTCCAGAGGAGCTAGCTTCTTTTGTCCGAGGCCAGCAGCAAGCCTCTCTCCTCCCTCTCCCTCTCCCTGCACAAGCGGCAGGTTCATGACAGGCGTAAAGATTGACAATATTCAGCTCCTCGATGCCAGGCTGAACCATGTAATGGGGTAAGAAACAATTACATTGTAGAATTGATACCACCAACACAACCGTGCGGCAGGATCAGAGATGAGCCTGAAGCCACCCTGAATTTTGTATATGTTGGTTCAATCTGGGTGGGAGTTATGGCTTCAATCTTTTTAACATATAAGGCAGCAGGGAAGTAGAATCCAGCCAGCTACACGTACATCTTCACCTATTTGGCATCTGATTGTTAAGCCATAGGGCACTCGTGTATTCATCTGTATACGTTATTACATTACTCTGCAGAAGAAGAAAAAAAAGGTTATACCATGTACACTATACGAGCATTTGTTTGTAAATAAGAGGAATTATGTTCTTGGTATAATGGTGGAAACAAAGGGGGTGTTTCTCTGAGCTTTGATGTTACACAGGTTCAAACGGAATGCAAGGGGATGGTGATTGGTAAACGAAGTACTATTTTTGCCATAGATATTCTCTAAAACGGAAAAGCAGAAACGAATACACTATCTTTGAGCATTTGTTTGTAATAATATACACTATCTTTGCAGGCCAAATCACAAATAAAGAAAAGAGCTCGCGTGCTCGTCTTTTGCGGCTCGTGGTGATAATTATTGGGTATGCGGTGACTTGTAATTTGAAGAAAATAGTCAATGTTTATGATATCTTGTCTATCGTTTTCCGTAAGAGGTCGACAAATGGTCTACTATTTTTGGCGAACGATTGACCAAAGGACACCGTTACATTTCATTTACATTAAGAAATAACGGATAATTAGAGATCCACAATACGAATTGTTTCGTCGTAATGTAGTATCTTATCATTCTCTTAACACTTCTATATGTCGAAGATGACACAATTATATGACAATTATACCTATTTTTTAAATATCTTCCTAACAACAAATTTCCACCATCACAAGATAACTATAAAAATAAAAAGCATGCAAGCAAACTAGAATTTGAAGGAAAGATGAAAATCTCTATAAAGTAACTCAAATATAAGAAATAATCAGTAAATAACTCAAATATAAGAAATAATCAGTAAATAACTCAAATATAAGAAATAGTCAGAAAATATTTTTCAAATCTACGAGAGAATAATCACCCGCGAATACTAACTTTAACTATCTTACCAACAAGCATATATATTAATATTGATACCCATGATTAGATATTTTAATTTAACTAGTAGTGGTTCATCCGGTCCACCGATTATTTGAAGCGGTAGACCACTTAGTGAAAGCGGTAGATCTTTTTCTCCAAATAATAATGACTTGTAAGTCACCATAACAAAGTCCTCATTATTTACAAAAAGTATCAAGGGTTTATTTGCACTTTGCATGAGTAATTTGTCACCAAATGACTCGTTTGCCAACAAAAAGAAAAATGCTTTCATTTGCAAATGACCCCCTCCAAATGACTAATTTTTCGTAACTAGTTTTCAAATTTAACCTTCCCCTTTTTCCACATACTCACTATTATTCTTTCTCTAGTATTTTGCCATAAATCCAATACTTTTCCATTATTTTTCATTAATGTTTTCAATTATTTCTAGTAAAATCATCGCTACTATTTTAAATACCAGTTTCAAGTATATGTTATGTTTGGTTGTAAAATGATTGTGTAACCATTATAATTTGGGAGAAAGTTAACATAAAATTATCGTTCAAGAATTAATATTAGTGTTATTATATAATGCTCATACCCAAATAATATGTTAGATGCTGGTTGCAAAATAAATTTTATTTTCATGGTTGGCTTCATTATGATAGCAAACTACTTGTGAGGTACAATGGTAACATTACACAAATGACTTAGTAAAAAACCACTCGTTTCAAAATAGGCAAAATGCAGTTGCATAGCTACAACTTTGACATTTGTGACACTTGTACCCATATTTGTAAAAATAAACTCGTATAACCAGATTTTGAGTTTCAGTTGACAAATATAGCCATTCCGTCACAACACTGCTAGTGATGCTGACTGGACTAACGATTTATGATGAAGTATGAATTTTTTTCTTAACTTTGCCACTGTCGGCCATATCATATTTGTCAATACATTCGTATAGTTAAAACTTTGATGCTAATAATTATTATATCCACTTAATCAAAATTAAAATTTCACCTCCACAAAATCCTTCCTTCCCATCCTAAATCTCATCCTCCTCTTAACCCAATTCATTACCTTCGATTCTCACGGCTCAGATTTACACCTAGTCAATGAATGATCTAGGGACCCGATTGGTGGACGAGATGGCCATCCCCTTCCAATCGTGAAGCCCTCCTATCTACTTTGATAGTAGTAAAAATGGTTACTATCAATGGTCTGTACAAAGTAGGAAAAGTTGAAAGAAAGGGTTTTCTTCATCAGGCTCACTTGGAAGAAGTGATAGGTTTGGTTGATCTTTTGGAGTTATTTCCAATAGGGGTCGTTGCTCCCTTCATAGGCCTTGTTGTCCCCATCATCAACATTCTCGAAAGCAATGCTAGAGTGATGCGTGCGTGACCATTGACTTTCCGAGCTAGTTCGCATCCAGGTTAAACCTATTGGAAGGTCTAGAACACATCCCTTGTATCGTGAACTTGATTGAGGTGACATTGGTTCAAGGAATCGTGCTAGGAGGGGGGCTAGTTGCATTACCATTGAGCTAGTCCCCACTTTAGTGAGCCCCGCACCTTATTTCCTCAAACTCGACATTATGAACCATTTGCATGATAGACTTAAAATTAGGGTGAGAGTGATACCCCGAAGTACGTGCTTTTATCTTTGCTTTCTCCACCAATACTTTCGATTTGACCTCCAAAACAACCGTAAACCGAACGAGTAGATAACAATAAAGTGAGAAGTACATAAGGCATCGAAAACCGTGAAATACGACATTGATCAATCACTATGTTAACAACGCCGTCTTGAGTTATACTTGGCTCAAGATGAGTTAGTTAATACAAATCGTGCAATCAAATAAATAACCCACACTGGGTCACACCAATTATTACTATATCATAGTGATAATATCATGATATGCCAATGTCAATGATATGATTGATATTATCACTATATCATAGTGATATAATACCATGATATGACACTGATATGATTGATACGATAGTTATATGATTGATATGACAACGATATTATTGATATGATAGTGATAATACTACAACTCACATTGAAAGGTTAATTTTTTCTTTGCTAAAAATATAGCAAAAGGGATATCATTGTTTAGATCATAAATTTTTTATAAAGGGATATCATTGTATAGGTTATAATTAATGTGTTCTTTCTATTCAAATTTTTTTTTAAGTTTCATGTTAAAACAAATGTTATAAGATCCAATTAAGAAAAATAGGGGATTAGAAAAAGTAGTTGTTGACTGGTCAACTGTCTCATCTCTCTCCTCCCGCTATCTCCCCTCTTTCCTTTGCTTTTTCGCGTAAAACCGTCAGGAAAAGGGAAAAGGGGCGTGCAAAATGACATCTCTGCCTATATTTTTTTGTTGGGAATTAATTTGAGCCACTAAATTGCATTAAAATAGAAGGATGAAAATTGAATTTTGAAGGTTTTTGAAGTTATGGGTTTTGCATAGTGGTGGAGCCACGTCGGGTCAAGGTGGGTCAGCTACACCACCTTGGCTCAACACACAAACAAAAATTATAAATAATAGCCCTAAAGTAGTACCTAACTATAAAAAAGTAAACATATATATTTTATAATGGTTATCGAACTGCCAAACTCCCTTCACTATAACATATTAAAATTGTTCGGTTTCAAGTCATTTTATTTTTATGTTTTAACATATGATTTCTTATTCAGTACTATCTTTTACATCAAACCAAGAAACACGACTGCACATTTCTTTTATTACCTATCAGAATTCCAAATACGATCTCCCCCAAATTATCACCAAGCTATTCTCTTCTACACACGGACCACGATTCCTGAATTCCCACAACCACAATCTCAATCTAATAATCATGTCAGCCCTTAACTTCAAGCTGCCCGGTTTGTCAGCTTGTCGCTCGTCGTTCCCTAGCTGATTCACCATATGTTTAATGGCAAATAACCTCATCTTGTTTCTGACATGATGTCGTTCCCCAACATCTGAGTTAGGTTGGCGACTGCCGTTTGATGCTAACCGTTCACGATGACATATATCGTTGTTCGACCCACCTTAACAATGTTTCTAACTACGACACTCGTTTTGCACAACTGATTAATCAGTTGAGTTATAACTTGTAAGAGAGTAAAAATATCATAGATTATTAAAAAAATTACAATATTAAATCTGTGGGTTAATACCTTATTTTGGCCCGAACTATGACCATATAATCAACTTTGGCCCGTGGTTTCAGAAATTAACATCCTGACCTCAACTATGCAGCATATAGACTCAATTGGCCCGACACTTGGTTTGACCGTCAATTTGGATGGTCAGCAACATTGACCGTTAGTCAACACGCCATGTCATTGCCTCGTCAGCCTAAAAATTATTAAAAAATCAAATTCAAATTATTTTCCTAATTTCTATTATTTATCATTTTCAAATTAACCAAAAAATCAAATTTAAAAATAAAATTTATATTTTATTTTTGGGATATTTGAATGATAAATTTATCAATTAACCAAAAATTATCAAATTAAATTTTATAAATTTAAAAAATATGATGTAAATTATATATTTTATTTTTGTGTAATGTTAAATATATAACATAGTTTGATAATTTTTGGTTTATTTATAAAATTTATCATTTTCAAATTACACAAAAAATTTAAAATAAAATTATATTATGTTTTTATAAATTATTTTTTGTTAATTTGATAATCAATAAAAAAAATAAAAAAAATAGTTTGAATTTGAATTTAAATTTTTTAAAGATTTTTAGGTTGACGACGCAATGACATGGCGTGTTGACTAACGGTAAATGGTGTTGACCATCCAAATTGACGGTCAAACTAGGTGTCAGGCCAATTGAGTCTATATGTTACATAATTAAGGCCAGGATGTTAATTTCTGAAACCAGATGCCAAAATTAATTATATGGTCATAATTCAGACTAAAATAAGGTATTAACCCTGAATCTGTTGTGTAATCACTAAACTGATTGCTTGGACACAAATTATTCCTATCCGCACACCAACTAGTATAGTACAAAGTATGGGGGGAGGAAAAGAAAAGAGAGGAAATAATAATTGCTCCATGCTGTAGTGTATGATCCAATGAGGTAGACCGTAGATTGTAGAACCATCAATAAAAGTATCGGTCTGTTCTGTTCGTCTTCTCTCTCCGTCTCTTTCTCTCTCCTCTAGGCTCTAGTCTCGTTACTCGTCACTCCCGAGAAGAGATGGAATCTCTCCTCCGAACCATAACCCGGCAGGACCCGAGCCCGGAAGACTACAGCGACATCGAGTTCTGGTCCAACCCGGAGCGCTCCGGCTGGCTCACCAAGCAGGGCGAGTACATCCGCACCTGGCGCCGCCGCTGGTTCATCCTCAAGCAAGGGAAGCTCCTCTGGTTCAAGGACAGCGTCGTCACCCGCGCCTCCGTCCCCCGCGGCGTCATCGCCGTCGGCAAGTGCCTCACCGTAAAAGGCGCCGAGGACATCCTCAACAAGCCCTTCGCCTTCGAGCTCTCCACCAATCAGGATACCATGTACTTCATCGCCGATTCCGACAAGGAGAAGGAGGAGTGGATCAATTCCATCGGCAGGTCGATCGTGCAGCACTCCAGGTCCGTCACCGATTCGGAGGTCGTCGATTACGACAGCACCAGGCGGTGATTCGGTTTTCTGATCCCCATCTTGCAAAGAACTTTTTAGGTTTTCCCTTTCCTTCTCTCTCTTTCCCTTTTCTCTCCTTCCCCACTTCAGATTGCCCTGTTGCACGTTTAAGAGAACAAACTGGGAAAAAGGGTATTTGGGGCTCTGTGTGTGTTGGCGGCGGCGATCTCAATCTCCGTATCTGTTATGGATTGCTTACTATATATAAAATTGGGGATTGGATGATCCATTGGGGTTTCCTGTATGTTCTATCTTTGTCTTGTAATTAAACCCAGTTTGGAGTCAGTAATCAAACCAGTGGCCTTGGTTAATGTTGTTTTTGTTGCTGGGTTATTCTTATTCCTCAAAGTTGCTTTAAATTTTTGCAATCTTTGACATTGAATTTGGGTTGAAGTTCTTCACTGATTGCTGTGACTGCCTTGGATTTCCTTCTGGTTAGAAAGACCAGTTGATTCTTCATAGAACTACCTACCTGAAGCTTCAAACTGACCAAAGTGAATTGCTTTTTGGGCTTGAACTGATTCCAGCTGCAAGTTTTTCCTTCTTCTGCTTAGAGTTAAATTTCTTTCTGCATTTGCTGGATCTCATTGAAGGGGGGTAAAAACTCTATAACGCAAGTAGGAGTTAGTAGTAGCCGCTTACCTTCCATGGTTGCACAAAGAGATTGGTGTTCATGGATTTGGAAGATCTTAGTGCCATTAATAATGCAATGAAGGTTACAGTTATTATCACTACGTATCAACCCATCTGCACTTATTTGCTGATTCCTGAGCAATGGCATTCCTGCTCACCTGCATCGGACAGAACCACTGCCATTTTTTTTTTATATCTGCATTATGGCCCACATTCCCTTGAATTCACGAGTCGCCAATGTGTGAGCGCAAACAGAGAACCAGCAGCATCCTATCTGGTATTATCCTTTGGATGCATGCCATTGCCAAAACACCTATCGTTCAGATTGTGAGAGCCAGAGAGTCGTTCAGAGAGATGGTTGTTGGAGCTCCCGAAAGCAGCGGACGGAGACCCTCATTGGAGATTTGGAGTGAGTTTATCTCGCCTCCGAATTCCCCCTCTTGTGAACTCTGTTTGGGTTTTGCAGTCTGATCAAGTGATGCCTTTCCACAACTTTTCTGGCTTCTGGTTAACAAACAGGTGAACAAGTTGCCAGTGATTTCTCAACTTGGCCTTTATTTCTCGGACACTTGCTTACTGGCTAATGTTCAGCCGCGGCTAAGTTCAGTTGTTTTAGGTGTCGTTTGGTTTCTCCAATTGTTAAATCGGTTTCTCCAATTGTTAAATCGTTATATTGTGAGCAATACATGTACATGTATTGTTGAATTTGATGTATTGTAGATAATAGCGTTTGGTATGTATATCATTTGTGGGGGTCGGTTAGCATGCTAACTCCCTTAGGGGTTGGAAAAATGACACCCCCTAGTATATTAAATACAACTATAGAATTTAATACACACATTAAATGCACATTAGGAATTAAATGTACCATATTAATTAGGAATTCTCTCACTATTAAATACACATTAGGAATTAAATACACACATTAAATACACATTAGGAATTCTCTCACTATATTTGATTTTTTCTTTTTCAGCAGTCTCCGACCACCAGACTTCCTCCGACCGTCACACTTCTCCGGTGAAAATCCCATCGGCAGACTCCCTCCGACCACCTCCAAAAAATATACCACTGCACTGATACGGTGTACCACTGTACTGGTAGATATACCACTGCACTGATACGTTGTACCACTGTACTAGTAGATATACCACTGTACTGGTAGCGATATCAGTGCACTGGTAGCAATGTCATATCTGAGTATCAGTGCAGTGGTACAAATACCAGTAAAGTGGTAATTAATGTGATGTATTTAATGCTTACTTTGTATTTAATAACAGAACATTTATTATGTTTATTTTCATTAATACTTGTCAATAATTAATGAAAAATTGGCCAATTAAAAGGGGGGTGTCAAAAAACCAACCCCTTAAGGGGTTAGCATGCTAACCCGTCCCTCATTTGTGTTTTCAATAACCTATCTCTTTGGGTCGTTTATTGGACAAACATGTGGCCCAATTTTGGTGGGGTATCGAAGAAGGCCATTCGAGGATTCGGTGGATGTCCTGGCTCAAAATGTGAGGGAGTAAGCATGATGGGGAATGAGATTTCGCCGATTCGAACATTTTAATCAGACTCTTTTAGCCAAAATTGGATGGCGTATCCTTAGTGCACCTTAGTCTCTTCTTGTTCAGGTTTACAAAGGGAAATATTTCCCGAATGGGACCTTCCTCAAAGCTACGGCTCGCTCTCGCCCTTCGTGGGGTTGACAGAGTGTCATGTTTGGTCGTCAGTTGTTGGAAAGGGGCTTAAGATAGAAAATTGGTAATGGCCGGTCTGCTTCACTACTTTATTCCAACTAGATACCTCGCCTCCAGTTTGATCCCCCTAGGTCTAATTAGCAGGTCTTACCGGACGGGGTGACTTGCCAGTGGCTGAGGTTATTTGTCAGAGGGAGGGGCGTTGGTGTGACCTCAAACTTGGCCAATGGTTTGACAAGTCTACATGCCGTGTCATCAAAGCTATTCCTCTTTCACGTCAGAATGTGGAGGATAGGCTGATCTGGCATGATATAACTGACGGGATTTTCTCTGTTAAATCGGCTTACCATTTAGCTGTCTCTCTGGATATGAGGTAGGGTCGTTGGAGGTCTACAACTAGTTGGATGGATAAGTCTAATTGGATTCGTTTGTAGGAGGCTGATATTCCCCCTAAGCTGAAAGTTTTTGTCTGGCAGATCCTCAATCAAATCCTTCCGACTACTGAAGCCCTCATTGATAAAAAAAATTCCTTGTGCATCCCAGATACCCGTTTTGCTGGGATAGTCCTGAGACGATGGAACATCGATTTCTCAATTGCCCTGTGGTGTGTGCCTTTTGGGGCTATGCGGGACTGGAGTATCTAGGGGAGAGATTGCCTCGTCATACTTTCCCATTATTTCTTAAAAGGCTGTTGGCTTTAATCCATCAACCGTCTTTTTTCAAAGCGGTTGTCGCCATCCTTTGGAGGATCTGGCGATCACGTAAATGGGTTGTCTTTGAAGGCAAACAGTTTGGAATCCCTGCTTTGATGCGCCAGTTCAATCAGCAATATGAGGAATGGGTAAGTTTGCCGGTGGGCCGAGCTCCTCAGCCTTCTTTACCTGTCGTGCAACACCAAAGTTCGGTAGGGCCTACTAGGGTGGTTTGTATGTGGGATGGGGCAACTAGGAGTGAGTCTCATTCGACATGCGAGATGGTTCTTATGAACCCGGCTAGGGATATCCTTATGGCTCAGGGGGGTCAATTTCAGTTGATTGATGACCCTTTGGTGGTGGAATTGCTTGTACTCCGAGAGGCTATTTTATGGTGCATGGAACACGGCTTCACGGACATAAGATTCGAAAGCGACGCCAAGGTGATTATCGATAAAATCAATAAGGCTGATACCAGAGATAACCGGATAGGTGCTTTTCTTGAAGAAATCGTGCATTATTTTGCCATCCATTATGGGTTTAGTGTTCGATTTGTAGGTCAGCGTAGTAATAGGGTAGCCCATATTGTGGCTAGAAAGGCCCTCTCATTGTACTCGATTACGAGGCGTTTCTTTGATTTCAAGACCTGGCTGAATTCCAGGATGTAACTATCTATTCGTTGAATCAATATATGATTATCTTTTGTAAAAAAAAAAGTGTTTTCAATAGGTAAAAAGTAAAGTAATTTTTTTTATGGAAATCTCACTTGTACCATTCTTTTCAATGCAAAAGGTAATTATCAAAAGGTTAACGTTGGAAAAAAAAGAAGAAAAAAAACAATATCAACTAGACAATCCAACAATCTCAGGTAAAAGCTGAGATAGTACAATCATTAATAATGGATGATTGTTTCTGTCAACATCAAGTAAACAATACATATATTCTATGTGCATAAAAACCAGAAAAACGATGAATTGTAAATAATACAGGCATTGTAACAATCTCAGCCAAACAATCACAAAAACCAAACGACCCCATGGTCAATGGGAAGATTACGCTAATATGTAGGTCGTAGCTCCGATCCATAATTGAATTTGATGCGCACCGAACGCTTCCCAAGTAATAAACTAACTAGTAGATGTAGTATAGCGGTTTATCAAAGTCGTATCCTTAGGGCTGGAAACCTCTTCGTACTTAAGGGTTCGATTGTTATTTAGTAAGCAAGTTAGATGGTAATTGAGTAAACTATTGCAAACTTCAAGAAAGAGAGACCATATGTGGTTGCTTTTCCTAACACTTGAGGAATTGCCTTTGAAATAGACAAGTAATAATTCAAATATAGCTATTCAAGCTGCAAGGGTCACTAATAAGGCAATTGGGTCAATGATCATGCACCCCATTGCCCTCCTAGTTATGACAATCAACTCAATGATCATCTAATATCATAACTAGAGATATGACATATCCTCTTTAAATGGGTTTAATCCATAGGCACACATTCCAAATGACTCGATGATAATGTAATCAATCAAATTACATCAATTGAGTAAGTGGCTCGCTCTAACTACAACTTTCCAATCGAATACCAAGTTTAACCAACCATCGGGTGTAGCATAGGGTAAGCAAGTAATAAAATTATCGAACCACAGCTCTCAAGGTGTAACTTACTGCGTCCTAAGTTTCGTTATCTAGACAACCTAGAATAGCGATTAAGAATAAACAAACTAAGCTAACTACCCTAGTTAATTACAAGTTTGGGGCACTCTTAGCTTGAATCCCCCTACTTTTATCATTTAGACCGATGTTGCATACCATCCTAGGTCGATTGACTCGATATCCCTACCGTTAGGAGATCGTCTCTCTCGGGATTGACCCGAAACGCGAAGTGATGGTTGGTAGGTGCTCTATTCAACCTAGGGAAGCCTTATATCATTAAAAAAATCAATCGAATAGACTGCCTCAGAGGATTATTTGGACGACATGGAATAAGGAGTGACCCTAATTGCCAAGAATGAGCTAAAAGGGAATTTTCTCCCTCGTAGGTCAAAAGCTCAATTCACATGTAAAACACATGCAATTCATGATTAGGTCCAATTACTGGAGATGCAACTTCATCAACCGGTTCAAGCATGAGCTGAAGCTACAGAGGCTCGAGTCGTTGCTGGCTTGCTGCGCAGCAGAGAGTTATCCGGCGACTGGCTTTGTTCGGCCGATCCTGCATTCAATGCCCCTCCGTTAAGAATTAAAACTCCATTTATTGGAGGTATTCGTCCGTTTTGGACGACTAAAGCTTCATTATGAGCTTTTAAATCATCATTCATTTGATGTTATTAGGGGAATAATTCCCTATTCACGTGGGTCTCAATTATTTTCTTTGTTGACCTTTTGATTGGAAGCTACCGGCATCTAATTTATTTAATGGTATTAGGTGCCCTACAACGGCTCTAACGGGGATAGAGCTTTACTCGACAATGGCAGGTTTCGTTAATAGTAATTATAGGCCTTCGATGTGTGCTTTATTGGCATTTAATGGGTTTGACTAACCAATAGGACACATACAAGTTTGATCTTTTACATATAAATGGGCTTTTGAAGTGGGGTGGATATTTGGTCTTCCAAATTGGTTTAATTGAGATTATCTTAATTATTTGGAAAAAGACTTGGAATATCCAAGTCCCGCCTAAGCTCAAAATTTTCATATGGCAATGCCTCAAAGTCATACTTCCCACAGTAGTTACCCTTCAATCTTGTGGAGTCAACTGTCTCAACCGATGCCCTGTCTGCTGGAGACATCGAGAAAGCATTGAAAGTTTATTCTTCAGATGCCCCCTAGCCACCAGATTGTGGACTTTAGTGGGATTGAGCAACTTTATTGAGAACGCCCATACTGTTAACTTTAGTCTACGGTGGCGACATGTCATGGTCTCCGAGACCTCCCAATTCCACATTCTCCAATGCGTCTGTTTACTTTGGAGAATCTGGAAGTCTAGAAAGAAAGTGACCTTCGAATTTATCCAACCCCATGTCCGTTCCCTAGCCAGACAGTTCTTCAACCAGGTCCTCGAATTTTCCAATATTCTTCCTTCTCCTCCGCCTCGCAGCTTTCTAATCCCAATTCATCCTGCCACCACTTGGGTCCCTCCACCAGAAGACTTTTTCAAGATCAACGTAGACGCAGCTGTTTGTGCCACCGGTTGTTCGTCTAGGCTTGTTATCCGTGGGTCAGAAGGGCATGTGGTGTTGGCGCTCGGGATGCAGCATCAAGGAATAGTCTATCCTTAGTTGGCAGAGCTTCTAGCTTTTAGAGACGTCATTTCCATCGTAGCCTCAAGATCCTTGACCCACGTGATAGTCGAAGGTGATTCTGAAGTGGTGGTCTACCAAGTCCGTCAAGGCATCTTTGAAGTCTCAATTGGTGGTCTGGTGTTACGAGAGTGTCTTCAGATCCTTAGCTCTTT